GTCACCTGTGTCACCTCCTGTGTCACCTCTGTCACCTCCTGTCCCTGATGGACAACCCCACCCTGTACCTGGAGAAATACGTGAGTGACGTCACCCGTGTCACCCGTGTGTCACCTGTGTCACGTCCTGTGTCACCCGTGTCACCCGTGTGTCACCTGTGTCACCTCCTGTGTCACCTGTGTCACCTCCTGTGTCACCTGTGTCACCTGTGTCACCTCGGTGCCACCTGTGTCCCACCACGTGTCCCAGTGTGTCCCCAAAGTGTCCCCAAGTGCCCAAACCTGTCCCAAACCTGTCCCAAACATCTCCCCGATGTCCCCAAGGGTCCCAAATGTGTCCCAAATGTCCCCAAACCTGTCCCCAGGTGTCCCCAACCTGCTCCAAACCTGTCCCCAAACATCTCCCCGATGTCCCCACCGTGTCCCCGCGTGTCCCAAACCTGTCCCCAGCTGTCCCCAAAGGTCCCAGATGTCTCCAAAGTGTCCCCAAGGGTCCCAAACCTGTCCCAAACATCTCCCCATGTGTCCCCGCATGTCCCAAACCCATCTCCACATGTCCCAAACCTGTCCCAAACCTGTCCCAAACATCTCCCCACCATGTCCCCACGTGTCCCCACGTGTCCCCATGTGTCCCAAACCCATTTCCACGTGTCCCAAACTTGGCCCCAGGTGTTCCCAAGGGTCCCAAACCTGTCCCAAAATGTCCCAAACCTGTCCCCAAATGTCCCCAAAGGTCCCAAAATGTCTCCAAAGTGTCCCCAAGTCCCAAGCCTGTCCCAAACATCTCCCCAATGTCCCCAAAGTGTCCCCAAAGGTCCCAAATATGTCCCAAATGTCCCCAAAGTGTCCCCAGCTGTCCCAAACCTGTCCCCAAAGGTCCCAAGTGTCCTCAAAGTGTCCCTGCGTGTCCCCACCGTGTCCCAAACCCATCTCCACGTGTCCCAAACCTGTCCCCAGCTGTCCCAAACCTGTCCCCAAATGTCCCCAAAGGTCCCAGATGTCCCCAGAGTGTCCCCAAGGGTCCCAAACCTGTCTCAAACCCGTCCCAAACATCTCCCCAATGTCACACCGTGTCCCCACCGTGTCCCCACTGTGTCCCCACGTGTCTCAAACCCATCTCCACGTGTCCCAAACTTGGCCCCAGGTGTCCTCAAGTGCCCCAAACCTGTCCCAGACCTGTCCCCAAATGTCCCCAAAGGTCCCAGATGTCTCCAAAGTGTCCTCAAGGGTCCCAAACCTGTCCCAAACCTGTCCCCAAAGGTCCCAGATGTCTCCAAAGTGTCCCCAAGTGCCCAAACCTGTCCCAAACCTGTCCCCAAATGTCCCCAAAGGTCCCAGATGTCTNGTCCCAGATGTCTCCAAAGTGTCCCCAAGTGCCCAAACCTGTCCCAAACCTGTCCCCAAATGTCCCCAAAGGTCCCAGATGTCTCCAAAGTGTCCTCAAGTGCCCCAAACGTGTCCCAAACATCTCCTCGATGTCCACAAAGGTCCCAAACATGTCCCCAGATGCTCCCAAACCTGCCCCAAACATCTCCCCAATGTCCCCAAGGTGTCCCCACCATGTCCCCACCGTGTCCCCACGTGTCCCAAACCTGTCCCCAAAGGTCCCAGATGTCTCCAAAGTGTCCCCAAGGGTCCCAAACCTGTCCCAAACATCTCGATGTCCACAAAGGTCCCAAACATGTCCCCAAATGTCCCCAAACCTGCCCCAAACCCGTCCCAAACATCTCCCCGCGTGTCCCCGCGTGTCCCCGCGTGTCCCCACGTGTCCCCGTGTCCCAGCTGCACGAGCTGATCCCGGCGGTGATGACGTGCATCGTCAGCCGCCAGCTCTGCCTGCGCCCGGACGTGGACAACCACTGGGCCCTGCGGGACTTCGCCGCGCGCCTGGTGGCCCAGGTGTGCAAGAACTTCAGCACCACCACCAACAACATCCAGTCCCGCATCACCAAAACCTTCACCAAGGTGGGATTTGTGGGATTT